GCAGCGACGGGCTGTGTGGGCGCCTCCACACCTCTCCCCCGCACGGTCACCGGTGCGAAGAACGTAGGGGCAGGGACCAAGAGCACCACCGCGCTGACGCTGCAAGTACCACTCACGGAGCTGCTGAGGGCTGGGGACGGTGCGAGAGCGCTGCTGCTGCTGCTGCTGCTGCTGGCGCTGACCACCCCCAGAGCTGCTCCTCTGGGACGAGCCACTCCGACCCCCGCCTCCACCACCACCCCCGCCTCCACCGCCACCCCCGTCTCCACCGCCACCTCCCCCACCAGGACCGTCGCTCCCACCGCTCCCACCGCCTCCTCCGCTACCACCTCCGCCGCCACCTCCGCCTCCACCGCCGCCACTAGTACCTCCACTCCCGCCACCACCTCCACCGCCACCCCCACTCCCCCCGCCACCCCCACCTCCTCCGCCACTGCCTCCTCTAGATCCACCCGCTCCCTTGCCCCCCTTGCCCTTGCCAGAGCGGCGTCTGCCGCTGGGGGCAGACGCCGCACCGACCGACTCAAAACCAGCGAGGTCGGCCGTAGCAGCAGAGGCGACAGAGGGCAGCAGGGGGGAAGGAGAACACCCCTCAAAGATGGGGGTGCGAGGGTCACCCCTAGAGGCCCCTACAGCGACTATACTCTTCTCAGCCGCTAGCAGGGACTCCTGAAGGAGGTCGACAGTGAGGGTGGTGGGACAGACAGAGAGAAACTGGTCCCTAACGACACGAAGGGACTCAGGAAGACGGGTGACGAGAAAGTAGAGAGTGATATACATGGGAGGAGGGTTTGCGGCGCGGAACTCAGCAGGAAGGGCAGCGCGGTAGCGAGCGTCACTAGCGCGGAGGTGGGTAACGAGGTCAGCGACAGTGGGAAAGGAAGCGAGGTCAGGGAAGAGAAACGGTAGCATGAGGCGGCTAAGGGCAGCGGAGGAAGGGGAGGAGTAGCGTGCAACTACAGCGTCGTACAAGGCCTGAGCGGTCTTGCACTGACTAAAGTGGGCACGCTCAGAGGAAGGGAGGTGGCGACGCACAGCAAGACGTGCAGCAGCATCGCGGGTCGCCCACTTGGAGCGAACGGCAGAGTCAGCATCAGCAGGCGGGGCAGGGACAGCTCCAGAGACAAAGTCAAAGAGAGAGACCTCATCTATCGCATCACACAGTAAGTACAGCTGCAGGTCTTCAATCCAGACGGCAAAGTCAATGGCCCTCCCCTCAGCGTCAAAAGTAAGAACATTGGGGGTGGCCATGGCAGCAGCTGAAAGTCTCACCGGGCTGGAAGAGTCGGGTAGGTCAGCAGCAGAGGAACACAGCTCAGGGACAGCAGCACGGCTCCTCAGGTGGCTCGCGTGGCTCAGGCGGCTCGGGCGGCTCGGGCGGCTCGGGCGGCTCGGGCGACTCGGGCGGCTCGGGCGTCTCGCGTGGCTCGGGTGGCGTAGGGGCTCACGGGCGGCGCGGGCTGCTGGGGCTGCTCACGTGCAGCACGGCGGGCTGCAGCAGGGCCGGTGGTGGGCTGTAGCAGGGCCGGTGGCGGGCTGTAGCAGGGCCGGCGGCGGGCTGTAGCAGGGCCGGCGGCGGGCTGTAGCAGGGGCCGGTGGCGGCTGTAGCAGGGCCGGTGGTGGGCTGTTGCAGGGGCCGGCGGCGGGCTGTAGTGGGGCCGGTGAGGGGCCGAAGTGGGGCCTAGGCGGGCCGGCGGGCTGTAGGCGGGGCCGACGCGGCGGGCTGTAGCAGGGGCCGGTGGCGGGCCTAAGCGGGGTCAGCGCGGGGCCGACAGGGCGTAGGTGGGGCCGGCGCGGGGCCGAAGAGGGGCCTAAGCGGGGCCGACGGAGCCTACGCGGGGCCGACACGGGGCCGAGACGGGGCCTGGGCGGGGCCTACGCGGGGCCGACGAGGGGTACGCGGGGTCGACGAGGGGTACGCGGGGCCTACGCGGGGCCGACGAGGGGTACGCGGGGCCTACGCGGGGCCTACGTGGGGCCGACGAGGGGTACGCGGGGCCTACGTGGGGCCGACGAGGGGTACGCGGGGCCGACGAGGGGTACGCGGGGCCGACGAGGGGTACGTGGGGCCTACGCGGGGCCGACGAGGGGTACGCGGGGCCGACGAGGGGCCTAAGCAGGGGCCGACGAGGGGCCTAAGCGGGGCCGACGAGGGGCCTAAGCGGGGCCGACGAGGGGCCTAAGCGGGGCCGACGAGGGGCCTAAGCGGGGGCCGACGAGGGGCCTAAGCGGGAGCACGACGGGAGGGGCGACTCGGAGGGTCGCTAAAAAAAAATGCGCGCCTCGGGGCGCGCTTCGGTGGGCCCTAGGAACAGGCCCTAGGAAGGGACCTGCTCTGATTCCATGAGAAAGTACGAACGAGAAGTGAATGACTATGAGGTGAAGTGGATACAAATAGGAAACCCTAATTGTGTTGTACCCCCTATGGGATACCCCACTATAGCCTACAGAAACAAGTAAGCTATATGTTCTGACACCCGTCTCGACCTGCCTCTCCTCGTCCGGTGAACAACGAAGGCGGCGTCGACGTGGGCGTCAACGCCGGTGGTGGTCAAGTCGGCAGCAGTGCTGGAGGCACGTCGAAACAGAGAGGTGTGATACACGCCGGTGAAGTCGGCGGCGTTCAGGCGCGAGGGATGCAGTCGTCGGCGGCTGCAGGCTCCTCGCATGGCGACGCTGGTGGGCGTCGAAGTGGGCTGTCGCCTATGTCGGCGTCCCAGGTGACGGCAGGTGGGATTGCACCGAGCTACGGCTACTTCAAGTTTACGCCGGACAGGATCTCGGTCACCCCTCCGCTGGTCGGTCGACCCGACATTCTCACCTGGAAGGAAGCCATCGAGCCTCAGTTGGAGATGGCCGGGCTGATTGGCTTCGCCCGAGGGACCGTGGCGACGCCGGGGGAGCACCACTCCGACCTGCGTGCGGAGTTTCGCGCCGTGCAGCTGTTGACCTTCACGGTCATCTCGCGGTGCTGCTCGCCGGGCGTGCAGATCGCCTTGAAGTGGTGCCGGGAGTACCTCGACGCCGGCCACCGGGCGTGGCTTTTCATCGAGTCGACGTACCAGGTTACCGACGACCTGTTCATCGCCCAGCTGGAGGGACAACTGACACACCTGCGTATGGGTGACAAGGAGAGTGCGACCGACTACTGCAACCGAGCCAGGCGAATTCTCACCACCATCAGGATGGCCGGAGCGCAGTACTCCACGGCGTCGTATATCACCCATGTCATGCAGGGTCTCTCTAGCAGCTACAACCTGCTGAAGCGGCTGTCTATGGCGCCGAGCACAAGGGCGACGCTCAACGAGGACAATCTGACCTCGTATATCCTGCAGGACGAGGCGATGCAGGAGGCTGAGCGGTCGCAGGAGCTCTTGGCGCAGGCGAACTTGGTCACCTCAGCGAAGCAAGGAGGCCGACCGGGACAGAGCGGGCAGTCTGGCGGTGGTGGTAGCAGTGGCTGGAAGCCGGCCAAGGAGGTCGACAAGAAGAAGTCGGCCAAGGACGGCGGTCGAGGCGGAGGAGGTCGACGACGGGAGTGCTGGATCTGCCGCAGCCCCGATCACCTCTCCTTTGAGTGTCCCGACCGCAGTGACTCCGACAACGACGACAAGGGCGGCCGCGGGAGGTCTGGCAGCCGTCGTCCACGTCGTGGAGGCAACCAACCGCGCAAGGAGAAGCAGTCGACCAAGACATCGACTTCGGCGAAGGACGCCGACTCCGTTGCAGGCGGCAAGGGGCGAGACGACAAGACGGCGTCGTGCTCGCTGGTCGGCGTCGTGGAGCCGACCATCTCTCTGGCGCCGGAGGCCGGAGAGGACTTCCAGGCGGTGGCGGCGGCTGTGCAGGCGAACCCGGCGGTGGTCCTGCTCGACAGCGGTTGCTCCCACCACCTGATGGGGACGAAGGAAGCCTTCGTCGACTTGCAGCCGAGCGGCGTCATCAGGCATGTGCGCGGCTTCAATGGGGCGCTGCAGGATGTCCAGGGCTGCGGCACCATCGCCCTGCAAGGAGAGGCCGGGAAGGAGGTGCTCATCCCCGACGTGTTGTACGTCCCGGGTGTGCGAGCCAACCTGCTGTCGGCCGGCCAGCTGAAGGAGCATGGCGTGAAGCTGCAGGAGGACGGAGACGGCATGTTGCTCGTCTCGGCAGCAGGGGAGGTGCTCGGGCGGGCGACATACTCTGGACGAGTCCTCTGCACCGACCTGCGCCCCTGCGCGACGAGGTCGACGCCGCCCACGACGGAGGTGGTGGCTCTGCGGGCGATCGTCTCGAAGACGAAGTCGACGCCGGACCGGATGCATGCAAGGCTTGCGCATGTCTGCATGGACACCATACGGAGCTCGGCGAAGAACGAGGTCGCCATTGGGCTGGACCTCAAGTCGGCGACGGACGCCGACTCTCCGTGTGTCTCGTGCCTCGGTGGGAAACTGGCGCGGCACACCTTCCCCGACCAAGGCTCCGACGCCGACGACGTGCTCGCCGTCGTGCACATCGACCTGTGCGGGCCATTTCGCGAGGCTGCCAAGGATGGCAGCCTGTACTTCTTGCTGCTGAAGGACCGTAAGACCCGCTATGTGTGGGTGAAGCCGGTCGCCAAGAAGTCCGATGCGTTGCAGGCGTTCGTACAGTGGCTGGCGGTGGCTGAGCGGCAGACAAAGAAGTCTGTGTTGATGCTGCGCTCTGACCGGGGAGGGGAGTTCCTCGGGAAGCAGTTCACCGACTTCGTGAACGACAAGGGGATCGTCCACGACCTGACCTGCCCATACACCCCGCAGCAGAACGGCATGGCAGAACGGGAGATGAGAACGGTAGTGGAGTCGGTGCGGACTATGCTGCTGCACATGGGTGTGCAACACCACTGGTGGCACCTCGCTCTGCGGCAGGCCGTCTGGGTCCGCAACTACCTTGAGAGGTCGACGCTGCCGCCGGGAACGACACCGTACCAGCTGCTGACCGGGAAGAAGCCCGACTTGTCGCTGGCACGGGTGTGGGGCTGCATGGCGCAGTTCCTTGTCCCTGAGCAGCAGCGCGGTGGGAAGCTGCAGCCGAAGGCCAAGTGGGGCCTGCACCTTGGTGTGTCAGAGGCGAGCAAGGGCTGGGAGCTCCTTGACGTCGCCACTGACCGGGTGGTCACCACGTCGGACGTGGTGTTCTACGAGGAGCTGTCGCTGGCCGAGTGGAAGACGGAGCATGGGCTGGTGTCCGGCCGCTTGCCGCCCTCTGACACCTCGTCGGCGACGCTGCCGCTGCTTGCCGAGGTCGGTGAGCTTGCTGCTGAGGACGTAGAGGACGTCCACACCCCTACCCCTCACCCTCTGACCCCTCCCCTCGTGGCCGACATGCGTGGGCTGACCTCGGTGTCGGCCTCCGGCGATGAGGGGAGTAGTGTGACGCCGCCTTCGGCGCCGGCCACGTGCATCGCCGGTGGCCGACGTGACGAGCGGCGAATCGACGAGGAATTGGAGTCGACAGGGGAGGAGCAGGTCGGGGAGCAGCAGCCGACAAAGGAGCAGGCTGGCGTGAAGCCGACCACGGAGCAGTCGGCGACCGGGACGTCGGCAGGGGAGCCGACCACAGGGGAGAAGTCGGCTGGGAAGCCGACCACAGTGGAGCAGTCGGCTGGGACGCCGGCTGAGGAGCAGCAGGACGCCGAGGGCAGTGACGACAGTGACGATGGAGGGGACGCCGAGGAGGTCCAGCAAGGACCGCGACGTTCAGGCCGACTTCGGAGGACGCCTGACTTCTTCGTCCCCGCTGCCTTCACCACGGTGTATGACGTGGACGATGACGACGACCTGCTGTACGACGACGCCGAGGAGGATGAGGAGTTTCCGGAGCTCGACCCCGACATGCTAGCTGACCCCGAGCACCGTTGGGACATCTCGACGATGACGGTGAAAGAGGCGCTGGCGAGCTGGAAGGGCCCGGCGGTGAAGGCTGCCATGGAGGAGGAGATTCGGAGCCTCATCAACATGGGCACTTGGGAGCTGGTCGAACGCCCGCCGGGGGTGAACGTCATGAAGAACCGGTGGGTGTTGACGACGAAGTACCACATCGACGACACCGTCGAGCGAGAGAAGGCGAGGCTGGTCGTGAAGGGCTTCACACAGGTGTATGGCGCCGACTACGACGAGACGTTCGCGCCGGTGAGCAGCTATGTCACGCTGAGGATCTTCCTCAGCATCGTCGCCGTCCTCAACCTTAACCTGATGCAGCTCGACATGAAGAACGCCTTCCTGCAGAGCAAGCTCGATCGGGTGCTGTACATGTCTCAGCCGGACTACTTCAACGACGGAACCGGCCGGGTGTGTAAGCTGCTGAAGAGCCTGTACGGGCTGAAGCAGTCGCCGTTGTTGTGGTACTTGGCGCTCAACGATGTGCTGGTCGGCGCCGGGTGGAAGAAGAGCCAGGTCGACGAGGCCCTTTACTACAAAGTCGGCGAGGGTGAAGTAGCCTGCTGGGTGCTGGTCTACGTCGACGACCTACTTGCCGCCAGCAGCAGCGCTGCGTTGCTAAAGGAGTTGAAGGAGCTGCTGGAAGCCGCCTTCGAGCTGCGCGAGATCTCGCCGGTGCAGAAGTACCTCGGGCTGGAGATCGTGCGCGACAGGTCGGCGGGGAAGCTGTGGTTGCACCAGCAGGGCTACGCCGACAAGCTGCGTAGGCGCTTCCTCGACGAGGAGCAGACCGGGCGCACCCCGAAGACGCCGGTCTCGGTCGGTGCCTACGCCGAACTCACCTTCGATGACGAGGAGGCGCAGGAACGGCAGGAGGAGGAGTACCGGCAGAAGGTCGGCTCGCTGCAGTTCGCGGCGACAACGACGAGGCCGGACGTCGCCTTCGCCTGCAGCAAGCTGGGGAGCGGCCTCACGGTGAGGAGCGACCAGCACTGGCGCGAGGTCGATCGCTGCCTCGCCTACCTCGCCAACACACGCGACACCGCCCTGGAGTTCGGCGGTGGACCTGAGTCGCTGGAGCTGGTCGGCTACGTGGACGCTGACGACGCCGGTGACAAGCAAAACAGGACGAGCACGAGCGGCTACGTGTTCGTCTACGGAGGGGCTGCTGTCTCCTGGTCGAGCCAGCGCATCAAGTGCGCGACGTTGTCGTCGACCGAGTCGGAGTACGTTGCGGCCACTGAAGCTGGCAAGGAGGGACGTCGCCTTCGCTTCCTCCTCGCTGAATTCCGGCAACTGGACGCCGGGAAGCCGACTGTCCTGCGTGTGGACAACAAGTCGGCCATCACGGTCGCCGAGGGCATGGGGTTGACGGGCAACCTCAAGCACATGGAACGGCGACAGGTCTGGCTGCAGCACATGGTGAGGCGCGGGAAGTTCTTGCTGCAGTACATCCCGACCGCTGAGCAGCCGGCCGACTTCCTGACGAAAGCGCAGCACTATCCGGCCTTCAACCGGTGCTCCGTCGCAATCGGCCAAGTGCGCTTGGCCGACGTGGGCGACGGCGGCAACGACGTGCAGCAGTAGGTGCCATGCCCTCTTGCATGGCTGGTGCGGTGGACGACGTGCTATGTGTTGGGCGCACGTCGACGAGCTAGTCTCCAAGCTGTACTGCCGTGTGGGCTGGGTGCCCAAGCGTGAACGCGGCAGGGGAGTGTCAACGGGAGTTGGGTGTTGGCCCCGTCCTCGCTTGGGCGGAGCCGACTGTATGGTCGGGTGTGAGGGGAGCAGCCGACCTGCAGCAGTGGGTGAGCTGGTCGACGAGGAGGTCGACCTGCACGGGGGATCACTGCACGGGCGCCAACTTTAGGGTGGCGCCGACTTGGGAGTCGACCTGCAGAGGACGTTGAAGCCGACTTCGGCAATCGGCTAACGGACTGCTAGTCGACCTGTTAGTGGTCGACTGGACCTGGTGGTCGACGAAGGAGGGGCCGACGTCGACCTCGACTCAGGACGCCGAGCAGTTGGGCGTCGAGTAGCTGGGCGTCAACTTTGTGACGCCAGCTTCGGGTGGCCGACGTGGGTGGTCGGCCGACGACTGTGCTGGTCGACGAGGAGCAGGTCGACCAGGAGTGCTGGTCGACGTGGAGCTGGTCGACCAGAGGGGATGTCGACCTGGAGGAGGTCGACCGATGGTGTCGACGACCTAGTGAGGTCGACGTGGAGGTGGTCGTCGACTTGGGAGGTCGACGGGCACGTACGGGAGCTGCTGGTCGACGTGGTAGCCTGGTCGACCAGGTTACCTGGGTGACGAAGTGCTGCAAAGGAGTGCGACGGTCGCCCAGGCGAAGTTGGCGAGCACGACCTCAGTGGTGGTATCCCGAGGTCGTCGTGGCGGGCCAGAGGCAGTCGTCAGCTCAAGGTTGACGTGGAGTGTGCGCTGTGCAGGTGACGGGACTCTGCACGCCAATCGGCTACGCACACCTGCGAAGCGGGTGCACTGCTGTCCTGCGTGAGCAACGCTGGCACGCCGTCGACCTTGCCTTGCTGGAGTTCGGTCGACCAAGCCGTGCTGGAACGCGGTCGACCAAGCTGCGCTGGCAGTTGGCCGACCTGAATGCTAGCCCTGATGTAGTCTTGCATTGCCAACTTCATTGTACCATTGTTCTGAACTTTTCCTAGTGAAACTCTTGCCAATTTTCCCCGTGAACTAGCAAGTAGTGTGTGCACAAGGAAAACGACTAAGGAACAGAGAACGCAGAGATCACACGAGCACACGTGCCTAGCCCGGAGCCTAGCTCCCGTTGCTGCAGTTATCTCCGCAGGTTATGGGCGCACTGACCCGCTACTGAAACAAGCCCTTTTATCCCAATGGTCTAGTGGTTGGGGACACGAGATGAGGTGAAGCAGCTGCCAGACACTGGAACTCCTCCTGCCTGTCCTCAAGGACGTCCGTGCCAAGGGCACACTCACCCCCGACGGACGGAGGACAGACAGACGCAGACTCATCGACAAGACTAGCAGCGTAGTCTAGGCGACAGCGAGCAGCAAAATCGACAAGCTCAGTAACGAGGGCACACGCAGCAGTAGACTCGAAAGAAGGGTCAGTGACGACAGTAGCAAGGAGACGCGTGACAGTAGGACTGGCAGCACGAAGAGAGTCCGACTCCAGGTCGGCAAGTGCAGGAAGAGAGGACTCAGGAGGAGAAGGCAAAGGGGCACGCAGAGGAGCAGTAGACGGACGCAGAGACGTCCGGTGCGTGCTAGGGACAGGAGGAGGACGCTGACGCGAACCGCGACCACTAGCACGAGCAGCACGAACAGGCGACGCAGGACGAGACTCAGGCTCACGACGCTCAGTAAGACCTCCAGTAGGACCAGCGTAGGGAGAAGGAGCAGGCAATGGGGAGGCAAGCTGTAGCTGTGACTGTGACGGGACAGGCTGTGGACCCTCTAAGGGAGGAGGAGGACCAGTAGAAGGTGGAAGACCAAGAACCTGCTGCAGGAGTGGAACGAAGTACGGTCGAGGCCGCGTGGCGACGCTAGAAACAACAGGGACAGCACCAGTACCCCCAGCAGGAGCACCCGCTCCAGCAACACCTCCAGCAGCTCCAGAACCTCCAGCAGCACCAGGAGCACCGCCAGCAGGACCGAGCGACGTCGACAGGCTCGACTGCGTCTACTTGGGACACACCTGAAGGGGCAGGACCCTGAGGGGGGAGGGGGTCTATCGGGGGGGGACCTGGTACAAGGAAGAGCGGGGGCGGGGGGAGGGACGGAGTGCGGTAGGGGAAGAGGCGGTAGTAGGGGACCGACTCGTCGAACGTGACGTCCTGGGAGGACAGAACACGGTGAGAGGTGGGGTGGTAGAACTGCCACCCAGGCGCGTCGGGGGGGAACCCCAGGAAGACGCAAGAAGCAGCGCGAGGGGACAGCTTGTCTGCAGACAAACGCTCGAGATCCCCAGACCCGGAACGCCGACGCATCGCCAACCTTCCCCGTCCACAGCAGGGCTGGGGAGGTCTCCGGCCTGGAGACCCTAGGGTGAAGGTTGATCTGATGCGCCGCGTACCTGACCGCAAACGGCCACAGAAAATGGGGGGCAGCCGCATGCATCATAGACGTACGAGCGACGCCCATGACCATGCCAATGCGGCGCTCAGCAATCCCATTTTGCTGCGGTGATTCTGGAAGCGTGAAGGTCTGACGGATGCCTCGTGCACGACAGTAGGCTCATAGAAGGCCAGAGGAGAACTCTCCGCCTCTGTCCGAGTGCAGACGCAGAACAGGAAAGTCCGAGCCAAAGCTCTGCCTGAGCTGGAGACGAGCTGCGCGGATCCAGTCGATCAGCACCTCAGTGACATCACCCTTGCTGCGCAAGGGGAAGACTGCGGTGTAACGCGAGTAGTCGTCAACAACGAGCAGGAAGTAGCGCTCGTGACCCTGTCCACGGACGCGGGCTGGGCCCCACACGTCCATGTGAAGCGTATGCAACGGGGCCTCTGTCGGAGGAAAGTGGGAGGAGTGAGGGGCAGCACGCTGGCGCTCCTCGACACAGGGGACACAGGCAGGGCCAAGGCCCTGAGGAAGGGGAGGGAGGGACCGGGGCAGACCAGACACAAGAAGACGGGAGGCCATGCCTCTGAGCCAAAGCAGAGAGGGGTGACCAAGGCGGTGGTGCCAGAGGAGAGTCTCGTGAGACAGGAGACGACACGAACAGGGGGCAGACTCAGGACCAGACCTGGACGCTGCAGCAAACACCTGACCCGACGCAGCTACCCTACCAGACTCAGCAACGAGAGGAGACGCAGTGGTCAGTGTGTACAGGCTCGACCCCGGCTGACGGGTAAACGTTGCCAGGTGTCGGCCTGTGCTAGCCTCGGTGCAGTGCGTCACCCGCTGGCGCGCAGGAGTGAACTGGTGGACACCCGCATCCTGTAGGTCAGCACCACTCACCAGGTTCATAGAGAACGAGGGGAGGTAGAGACCAGACAGGGTGTCAGAAGGAGCCGCCGGACACGGGAGAGCTGTGGAGAAGCGAGAAAGGACAGGCCCCCCAGAGGGGTCAGCCAGAGACACCGCAACCGGCCGACTAAGCGGCGTGAGCGTGGTGCGGTCCCGAAAGAAGGAGCGAGAAGCCCCAGAGTCAATGGTGAAGGTGAGGGAGGCCGAAGCCGACGTAGTACCTCAGAGCGCAGACTCACCAGTACCTGAGGGCGCAGACGCACTGGCACCTAGAGCAGCAGTATCAATGCCCGGGTCGGGCGGGAAACACCGGTAACAGTCACCCTCATCACTAATAGTCACAGCATACATGGCAGCAAGGATAGCATCAAAATCAAGATCATAGATAGCTACGCATGCCCTAGACAGCTCTCCCCAGCGGGGGATCTCACTGGCCTCTGGGAACTGCAGGCGGCCAAAGCAGTGCTGGGTGGGGTGGGCACCCCCACACTGCTCATCCGCGCCGTCGGCGGTGCGAAGGACGTAGGTGCAGGGACCAAAGCCCCCACCACGCTGACGCTGCGTGTACCACTTACGGAGCTGCTGAGGGGGGGGGATGTCCCGAGAACGCTGCTGCTGCTGCTGCTGCTGGCGCTGACCACCACCAGTGCTGCTCCGCTGCGAAGCGCCACCCCGACCACCTCCACCTCCTCCTCCACCGCCTCCTCCACCTCCGCCACCACCGCCGCCTCCGCTAGGACCGCCGCCGCCTCCGCCGCCTCCGCCTCCACTGCTGCCACCGACACCTCCACCCCCGCCACCACTCCCACCGCCACCCCCACTCCCTCCGCCACCTCCACCGCCACCTCCACCGCCCCCGCTAGCTCCACTCGCACCCTTGCCCCCCTTGCCCTTGCCAGAGCGACGTCTCTGAGAAGAAACGAGAATGAATGAACTATGAATGAAGTGGGTACAAGTACTAACCCTAATTGGGTTGTACCCCCTATGGGATACCCCACTACAGCCTACACAAAAGTATAAGCTATAATGTTCTGACACACCCCCATAGGCAAAGTGGGGGAGAACAAGGGGTCACAAGACCAGTCAAGCAAAGCAAAGCAAAGCAAGCTCAGGGTGGATCACAATGTCACCACACATTCTGAGCACAAGTTCAAGGCCACAAGGCCAGTTCACATGCAGGAGTACATATATACATAACGCTAGACAAGCAAGAGCAGGTATATATATATGTAACAGTACAAGTAAGGTCAAGGGGTGAGCAAGTGAGGCAAGGCAAGGACAAGACCCAGCGGAGTGCAGAAGCGCTGATGATCACAAGGCGGAAGCGCCTTGGTGAAAACATCAGCAGTGTTGGCCTAAGAGGCCACGTACGCAAGCCGCAACTGACCACGCTGCTGTAGCTCACGAGCAAGGAAGTAGCGAAGAGCAATGTGCTTTGTTCTGTGCTCCAGTCTCTGCTCTCGACACAAGGCCAGCATGGCCTTGTTGTCTACGTACAGGACTGGAGGAGAACGAGGCAGCTCTCCAAGGTCGGTCAGCAGGTAGGTGAGCCAGTGAAGCTCCTGGGCAGCCATGGCCCCGGCGTAGATCTCAGCCTCACAACTGGAGCCGAGAACAGAAGACGAGCGAGTAGCCAGCCACGAAACAGAGCCGGAACCGAGGCTGAAGGTGTAACCCTGTGACGACCGCTGCGTAGCCTGGTCGTCAGCCCAAGAAGCGTCCGCGTGCCCAGTGAGGACCACTGGACTCCGCCCTCCAAGCACTAGCCCCATGCCCGACGTACTGCACAAGTAGCGCAACACCCTCTTCGCTGCAGCCATGTGCTCTGGTCGGTGTCTCCCAGGAGCAACACAGCGTGCAAGAATGCTAAGAGGGTATGCAAGGTCAGGTCGTGTGCAGGTCATC